GCTGGGCTTGGGTTTGAGTTTTTTGTTTCTTGTGCTGGGCTTGGGTTTGAGCCCTTTTTCTTGTGATTGGACTCTTTTTAGCCCATTTCTTCTTGGTGCTTGGCCCGGTTTTTTATGCCGCCATCAGGAAGCGAAATCAATTGACTGCTCCCAACGTCTTCATTCAAGCAGCAAATGTCGGCACGCATGTCGTACTTATCTTATTGGCAGGAAGCTAGGGGCTGGGTCACTTGCAGGGACCACAGCGTGGTGGCTGGAGCGGGCATCATTGAAGGTGGGTCGTATACGTTGCTTTGAATATCTTATTATAAACAAAACCTTTAAATTTTTTAATTTAATATCATAAATTATCTTTCAATAAATAGTAGATTCATCCTTCCAATAATTTTGATAAGAGTTCACGTGATGGTCTGTAAAGATATCACATATCTTCAACAGCATTTTTCCACATAAAAATAATTATAAATAACATTAACAATAACAAATAAAACTTTTTAAAAGAGCTCAGTTTTTCACTGTTCATCAACACTCCAGTTTTTTTAAGGTTGATTTCCTCTTTAGGTCTCTAAAGTTTTTTGTTATTTATATTTCACTCAATGAATTCTTTTATATGATGATTAGAAGTTATATTAATATAGTTCTATGTGTTAGAACATGTTTTGGGATGCATGTTCTTGTGAACACGGTAGTACAAAGATTACTTTTACATTACATTAAAGATAGTGCTATGAAATGGAATTTTAGATTATAGTTGAAAAGGGTTTTTTTTTAAAAAAAGAAAGAATTAAGCTTTGATTTTACTATTTAGGAGGTGTATCTTTCAACTTTTTTGTCATTATAGTTTTCAACTTTTTATTTTGATCAATAAACTTTATTTTTTACATTTCAATTCTAAAATTTGAGTTAGAAAAAAGAAAGAATCATTCAAAAAAATGAAAAAAAAACTTTTAAGTAGATATATTCTAACTGTAAAAACCATTAATTATTGTATTAACAAGTTTATACCAGTGATAGGATATCAGTGAAGGTTATTTGATTTTTAATTTTATTATACTTTAATTGGTTTTGAGTTTTAATTTTATTAAAGTTTGCTTTGTGGTTGAGAATAAGATTATTAAGGTTTTTTTTTGGTGTTTTTGATTAAAAATATGTTGAGATTTAGGTTTAAGGATTCAAAAACTTTAATCTTGGTTTTTTGATATGGGCAGAAAATTATTGTAGTTGATGATGTGTCAGTTACTAAATTGGAACTTGGCATTCCAAGTCTAAGCATGCCTAGACTTTTCATTTCAGAGAGAATTCCTCCTATGCTTAGGAACACTTCTTATTTAATTTAAAATAAGATTCTTTTAAAATTAACAATTATTATTAATTAATCTAATTTTTAATGAATCTAGCAAAATAAAAGTAATTAAAAAAAAAACCCTCCACAAAGTCTTCTACGCTCAAATCTAACCCAGAAGATATCTAAATTACAACAACTATTCAACAAAATATTTCAAAGTTTTACTTTATATCTAAAAACTTCAAATCTATACATCTAATTTTGTTAATGAAATTATCTAATTTAAATTTCTATAAATTCATTATCGTAAATTTTTATAAATTCATTATCGTAAGATATTTCATTGAACGGTGTTTTTAACGATGTGCTGGCTGGAT